AGAGTTTTTCATGAGGAGATTTGCGCTATACTCCTCTAACTCTTTCTGTGTCTTGGCCACCTGCTGATTCTCCTTCTCGTTCTTTTCTGTCAGATCGCGGATCACTTTGTCTTTCAGCTTGAGCTGCTTCTTCAGCTCTTGGATGGTGTGATCTGAGGTCATCTTGGCCTCATTCACAGCCTCTTCCACCTCCTGAGCCTTGACTACATTCATGTACTTATTTCGCCCCACGAGAAGTCTTTTCTCTGTTGCAGCGTGTACGTTTTTCAGCTGACTTTCCTGATCTTGGATTCTGGTCTTGAGGTCTCTATTCTCGGCTTTGACTTTGGAGTTTTCTTCCTCCGTCGCAGCAATGACAGTGTTTTTCATGAGGACATTTGCGCTATACTCCTCTAGCTCTTTCTGTGTCTTGGCCAGCTGCTGCTTCTCATTCTCGTTGCTTTCTGTCAGATTGCTGATCACATTTTCTTTCAACTCGAGCTCCTTCCTCAGCTCTTGGATGGTGTGTTCTGAGGTCCTCTTAGACTTCTTCAGAGCCTCCTCACACACCACCGTCAGAGCCTGGACATCATCCATGTACTTATTCTGGGCCGCGAGAAGTCTTTTCTGTGATTCAGCATGTACATCTCTCAGCTGACTTTCCTGATTCGGAATGTTGGTCTTAAGCTCTCTATTCTCGGCTTTGACTTTAGTATTTTCTGCCTCCATTGCAGCAATAACAGAGTTTTTCATTAGGACCTTTGCACTACACTGCTCTAACTCTTTCTTGGTCTTGGCCAGCTGCTGTTTCTCCTTCCCTTGGTCTTCTGTCAGATTGCTGATCATTTTATTTTTCAGCTCGAGCTGATTCCTCTGCTCTTGGAGGGTGTGATCTGAGGCCCTCCTGACCTCCTCCATCGCAGCAATAACCGAGTTTTTCATGAGGACATTTGCACTATACTCCTCCAACTCTTTCTTGGTCTTGGCCAATGTTGCCTTTAACTGAGAAGCTTCTGTCCCCAGTATTCTTTCTTGCTCCTCCATCTGGGTCTTTAGCTTGTCCATGTAGCTGTTAGCGTCCTCCATCTGCATCTTCAGCTTCTCTACGTAGCTGTTAGCGTCCTGTATCTGAGCGTTCAACAGGTCCATCGCCTCCTGGTTTCTGTCGAACATCGCCTGTTTCTCGTCTTGGTGTTTGGTGACGATCGACATATACCGGATGGTGTCTTCAGCATTTGCTTCTTTCAAGGCCTGAATCTGCTCCTGAGCCTTCTGCAGTTTCCCTGTGGTATCACTCAGAGCCTCTTGGAGATCTTTTTTCTCCTGGACAGTATCATCCAGTTGGCGTTGGGCAGACGTGGATCTTTCTGAAGCCTGCAGTAGAGCCGTCTCTAAGGCAGACCTCTCTGTCTGGAGCTGGATCACCTGCTGCTGCTGTTGGTGACTCTCTTTCTGATGAGTCTCCTCCAGCTTGCTCCACTGTTGCTTCTCTCTCTTCACATCCTCCTTCAGACGCTGGTGTTGTCCCTCCAACATCATGAGGTGGCATTCAAGCTCTTCTATCAGCTTGTCCTTCTTTGATTTTCTTCTTAAGCACGACATTTTGCTTCGTTGTATTTCTTGCGGTTTAATTTGGTCCGTTTCCTCCTGAAGTCACAAATATGGGTCCTGTTTGGGGCTCTCTCCACACACAGACACTTGCACTGGGGACTTTGGAGCTTTGATTATGTTGCCGTGACAATGGTGAATTCCTTTGGTTCTGGAATGCGGCAGGTTCAGTTACCATGGCGATTTAGGAACTCCTCAATGACAATTTTATAAATTAATTACATTATATTATAATATCTAATTAATTATAAAAAAAGGATTATTATTCCGGCAATGTCTTAAACAATGTTAATTTTTCAAGACCCGATCATGATCCTTATCCTTTCTTAAAATAAAATGTGCAGTGGATGAGCTCCCATGATGCTTTGCGCCAAATATGTGTGTGTGGCACGTGCACAGAGCGGCTCGTCCTCGCTCTGACAAATCAGAGCTGCTGATCAGACCGGAGCTAGACCGGAGTAAGAGTGGGAGCCAAATGAGAAGAGTTTGTAGCAGTAAAGTGTGGAGAAAATTGAAGGATTTAAGAAGAAAAAAAGTTCAGGTTGACAAGGGACACTAAAATTCCCACAAAATGATGAACGCTGCAGGTTCATTGTCAGCTGATGTCGAGCTGTTTTAGTTTACATCGAGTTCTATGGGGAACATTTCTGAGTATCCCACGTGAATTTAGTCTGGTTTAGTCTGCAGTACCGCGAGAATCCCCCGAGCACATGAGTTCTTCAGCTCCAAGCTAGTAAAACCCTATCCAGTTAATATAATAGATCCATGATGCAGGCTCAGACACTACGCGGGGTCTGCTAGCTGGCCCCAAGGAAGAAGACTTGACACTGATTGGTTCATTTTCATTGACTTAAAGACCTCATGCAGGGTTGTATCGATTTAGAAATAAAGTTTTAGTACCATTTTATATTAGAAGAGAACTAGGATTCAAAATCAAATTTTTTTTTTGCTGGTCCACGGTAGCTCAGGCTGCGGTCACATGCACAGCCTAAAGCCCGGTTAAAGTGTGCCTGGGCCCACTTCGCGATTAGATCCGGGCTTTAGGTGCTATGTGAGATAAAGCCTGAGGGGTCTCCCTGACCAGGCGCTGGACGAGCAGCTTGAGGAAAAATTAGTCATTAGGCGACAGTAGCTCAGTTGGTAGAGCATTGGCTGTTATGCCTGAAGGTCGTGGGTTCAATTCCCACCTTGACACCTTCTCCACCGACTCCCACTGCTGTCGTTGTGTCCTTGGGCAAGACACTTAACCCCACTTTGCCCAAAGCCCCCGCTGAGAGATCATGGCTATGCTCACATTGACAGAGCAGCCATCCTCCTGTGGACTCACCACCTGCAGAGGATCAGTGAGGGGCTGGTGCTCTGTGACTTGGGTGGCTTCTCTGACTGCCACCCCCCCGACCCAGAAATGGATTAAGGGGTAGAAAATGGATGGATGGATGGAAAGTTTAACATGCTCTATTAGTTTGTGTAAACTCCCAGTCGTACACGGATTATTCAAAGCTGATGATGGGTGAGCAACCTTTCTTTGTTTTGAATGCTCTTTTAGAATATTTATGCTGTGATTCAGTTTTTCTCATTTCTGAGCTTACTCCAATAAGATCCTGAACGATTGAGTCTATGTGTTGGACAGGACAAGTATGCAGGGGACATTATTTAACTCATTATCCAATAAAAACATTGCCATAGGCTCAATATTGAGAAATAACAACAGGGTGAATCAAAACTGACTTTGTGAAGCTATTTCCTCTAACCAATGAGATGAAAGTTGAGATTACAATTTAAATGCCGTAGATTGCTTTTAGAGAATCAGATTTAAGAAATGTCTTAGCAACACATATATTGCTTTAATTTGTCTGAAACGTGAGTTTGAGTTTGTGTCGCGTTGCTCGTGAACACTTGATATTCATGGAGCAGAACTTGGCCGATGTGTGTGTACAGCCCAGTGTGGGATCAGGGGTCCTCTGTCCCACGCAGACAAAGAATTCTCTTCAACCCCTCACCCCCCTTCACTTTGTGCTGGACAAAAGTTTCCCACAATGCATTGCAACCAACGTATTGACCAGCTTTAATGAGGGATTTCTGTTGGTTGGAGTATGTGTGAATGAGAAATGCAGTCAGATGTCGCCCTTACGTTGTAAAACAAGTTCACACATTTGTTGGAGAAAATTTCAGTCCACAGATTCACAGAGATTCATCAGGAGTGGATATATCAACTCCACTAGTCCAAAAGCGTGAAGATAGGGAACACAAATAACAAAGCAAAAATAGAAATAATTGACATGCACAATCATTACTCGCTGGGATTGTTTTCAGAACAATTAAGAATTGATTGCTGCTGCAGAGGTTTATGCCAATGCCAATAAATAAAGTCCGAGAATGGCGACATCTACTGGCCATTCTATATATTTCAGTCTGTCATAGATAATGCCATTGCTCTCCAACATTTCTAAGTCATCATGCAACCGAATCATAACTCAGAATGCAGAATAAAATGGTGGCATTAATTGTATGTGTTCATATGAAGAACATATCTATCAAAATATGAATCACATGAATCCGTTACAAAACAGGTTGTATTTGATTTAAATCAGTTACAAAACCAAAACAATACTTCAATCAGGGCTAAACCACAAACTAAACAGGATTATTTAAAGGAGTTATAAATTAATTCGGATCTTTTATAACACTTTTTAAGCAACTGTGGTTAAAGTTGAACTCGTCATTCTAACAGTGCAAGACTCAGTGATTTTCCACTTGAATGTCAGAAGAGTGTCTATGATTCTTCCATGGTATAATATCACATGCATGCTGTAAAATCTTTGTCTTTTTAACAACAATAAAACATTTTCTGTTGGACACAATCCCAAACCTCGATATCGTTTGTCATTTTCCGCATGAAAATCAACCCAAATAACAGAAAACTGGCTTAAAATGACTCAAAATTCAACATATAGCTGACATGCATAGGAGTGTGTGTACCACTTGAAGGAGCCTGAGCTCCTTCAAGTGCTACACACACTCCTATCACAGATTAGAGAAACACTGTATTTAGGATGTCTTTCAGGGCCTGATTATATCTTGATACTAAGGGGTAATATATATTTTTTACAATTCGATACAATTTAAAATAAAACAATATTTGAAATAGACTTATGGCCTATAGTCTGATGAATTGTCCCATGTTAGTAAAATCACAATATTATTGGTGCAGTAATCTTCCATGTATATTTTTGTCTGAAGAAAAATGTACTGTATGATGTGAAATATATTGTATACTATTATAACACATAGGTAATTGTTCCTCGACCCCCAGTTTGGAACTACTCTGATCCTCATGCAGTTCTATGTTCATCCTGACACAGAAAACAAACAGAACCATGAACTTTTGTTTGTGTCTTTTATTGAGTTCTTCTTTAGTTGTTCATCATGACCTGTAGAAAAACAGGGTTAATTTAGAGTCGGTAAAACTTTCTTGTTAAGCTCATTCTTTTAGCTTCTTCACCTCATCGATCCACTCGTTGAAAGCAGAGACACGGGTGAACACGGTGGGTTTCCTGATGAAGTTGCAGCCAAGACCAGAGACAAAGCTGGCAATGCCGTGGACCTCCCAGGTGCCATCAGCATTCTTACAGTTCAGGGGGCCACCGGAGTCCCCCTATGCACAAACAAGACAACACTCTTTTCATTCTTTCAGGTGAATGTGAGTGACCAGTGAGTGACCAGTTTCCAGCAACAGAAAAACATCCATCCACACACAGACACACACAAACACACACACAAACACACACACACACACACACACACACACACACACACACACACACACACACACACACACACACGCACACATACCCTTGACTGTAAAAAATAATACACATACACACAAAACATATTTCAAAAAGTTACTAACCGTAGTAATAAAGTGCACATTAGACATAAGACATTTAATTCAGACAGATCTGTTGTATAGTCTCACATCCAAAGAAACAAAAATGTTCTTAAAACGTTTCCGTTGGGGCCTGTTGCTACGGTTACTCTTTGAGCGTCCAAGTGTTATGCAGAGGGTGTCTGGAATTACTCAGGATGCCCTGCATCACTGCACACTTTAAGTTCTCCCAATAAACGGAGACACATTTCCTGATCAGCCTGTCAAGTCCGGTTACTTTCTCTCGAGATCAGACTGTTGCCCCAACACACAACCCCAAAGAACACGGCACAATCTACTATAGACCAGATATAAATATGTAATATAATGATTTACACCTGGTAAAAACAGGACTTTTCACGGCCTACATCAGGGCTAGGGCAGATCTTAAACAGGAATGTATTGTTTCTAAAGGAGTTCTACCGTAATTAACCCATAAAGATGTCAAACATGAAAATTACCATAATTTAAAGTCTGTGCACCACTTAAAGAGTGTCAGGTAGCAGCAGTTATTATAATAGTTACAGTTAGAGAGAAATTAAAAGTGCATTTATCCATTATTTGTTTTTATAACTTTCTTATGCTTTTTTTGTATTGTGTGTGTCTATGACAAATTCATACACATATGAATGTATAAACAATTTGAAATATAAATAATTCTATTAAATGAAAAACAGTATTGTATCTAATTAAAAACTGACAGTAATTGTAGTTAAAGTTGCTGAGGTGGTTCATTGACATCTCATGTAAAAAATGAATGAAGTTTAGATTGTATGAACTTACATTGCATCCTCCCACAACACCATCTCCTCCAGCACAGACCATGGACCTCCTGATGGCCACGCCCCACCAGTCGTTCTGAGTGCAGGTCTCGTGGTCAGCAACAGGCATCAGGGCCTGCTGCAGCTTATCCGCAATGGGTCCTCCAGCTGTAGACCCCCACACACACCGTCACTGTCCAATACTATATATCCTCTTCATTCTGCACAAGGCGCTTCCAACCCCCCCATTCTAATTACTGCTAATCCCTGTGAAGAAAGCCAGTCGTAACATCTTTCTTTGAATTTGAATTATATTGCGCTGCAGGGTCTGAGCCGCTGCCAGCTTCCTACAGGGCATTTTAGATGAAACTGCTGCTGAGAGGCTGTGATAGGCTCGTCAAAGGAGACAGACACATTGGACTTACTGTAGAGCCTGCCCCAGCCGGTGATGTAGCAGGGGTACTGGTTTGGAAGAAGGCTCTCTGCTGAGGGAATGCAGGCCAGATGAACGTGGTCGCCCAAAGTCACGGGCTCGGACAGTTTGACCATCGCGATGTCGTTACTGTGAGATCAGAAACACATCTACAGCTATTTAACACAATCTCATAATCTGGACACAGTGAGACAGGATCAGAAAGAAGTGACAAAGAATTAAAGAAATTGTATACTTCCAAGTTGAGCTTTTGTACATTTTGAATAATTACTTAAAAGAGCATTCCTCAACTGTCCTGATTATGGCTTGGAATCATCTAAGTGTTGTTGTTTTGCCTGGACACAGAAACAAACATATCTAGCAAGTGTCACAGCTGCGGAGAGGCGAGTCTTCTCACAAATAATTCAGCACTAAAATCAATCAGAATTGAGCAATCTACATGTTCAAGAAGAAAATATTGGACCTCTTCACAAAAAGCGGATCACAGAGGAATGCACCTTGATGTTGAGCTGCAACAATTAATCGAGAAAACTGAATTAATCAATTATAAATGAAAAGCTTTGATTACAACTTCATTGCCTTAATTCATCTGTTAATTTATATAATTTCTCAAAGCCATGTGAGTCTGCACTTGTTTCACACTGAGCTGTTTCCTTGTGGTGAAAGCGTTAAAGGCAACAGACTATTGTTTACTTTGAACTTGACTTCTTCAAAAATATGCATTTAAGGATATTTTTGTAAAAAAATGTTTTTATATATATATAACGGAATACTCAATTACTACAATAATATCTGCAACCCTACAAAGAAAAGGAATGTTGTTCGTGCTATGTATCAATAAAAAGAACTACTGGACCTTCTTAAGAGCAACATAAGTACAAATTTCAGATTATTTTATTAACACATTCAAAATATAATAAATGTAATGTGTTAGTAACATATGGGGGAGTATTTAATGAATGTATCTTATATGTAGTCAATAGAGTCGAAAATAATGTTGTTTTTGATCAATAGAAAAACTGTGAATGAGCTAAAGTCTTATTACAGATCTTGTATTGAGCACACGTCTATGGTGTGATGCAGTCCTCTGTATGATCACTAGGTGGTGGTAGAGGACTGCAGCGCTGCTGTATGGACAGTGTTTAAATGCCACTCTCTTGAGCAACAATCATGTCTTGTTTACCAAATGAGTACTCATCAGTTTTTACCCGAGAGCCACGAGGATGGGGTTCCACTGTCTATGGACAATGATCTTCTCTGGCACAATCGCCTGAGCGCCAGCTTCTGCCTCCACCAGGTTGTGTTTTCCCACAACCACTCTGTAGGACAGTTTGGTGCTGTAGGAGGACGGAAAATAGGATTCATGGCACAGGTTATATTTAGGTTTGAATAAGACACAAGCAAATAAATAAGATTATGTTGTGTATGAAGTCTCTGCTGTTATACTTGATGCAGTGAGCCGCAGTCATGACCCAGTTGGCAGCAACCAGAGATCCTCCACAAGTGTGCCTCCACTCTCCATCCCTTTCATATTGCAGGGAAATCTGTTGGTACAGAATATTCAGGTACAAAATATACAGAAGGCCCATAGCTGTGGAGTGCAGATGATGTAGTGTTAAGTAAGCCATTGGTTTACTCAGTAAATGATATCCAGTGGGCCTGACTCCTAATAAGCAGATGTTGTGTCCACAAGGTTTGCCAGAAACATGGCGAACACTGCAGGTGTGTTGGCATGAGCATACCTGCCAGGGCCAGCTGTGGGGGATCGCATCTTCTCCATTGACCACTCGAGAAGTCAGGGGTTCGATGGTTGGGGTACCGCACCCGAGGGCTAGAGGCAAAGACATGGATAATATGCTGTTATGGGGAAACGGTTACTACAGAAGTTTGTGTATTCCCTGTTTTATAACAAGGCATACAGTCTCGGTGAAATTTGTGCAGAATGCAATTACACAGTGAATTAGAGTCCGCCAGATGTTCTTACCGCTAGCGATGAGCACAGAGGCCAGCACAATGGGGATCATGTTGATGGATGCTTTTGCTGAGGGACAGCAGGACACGCTCAGTCTTTTAACTCGCCCACCTCAGGCCAGACTGTCCTCCAATATGGAAACACACTCTGCTATTGGTTTGTGAACTTCCTTTGCTACTTTGGCCACCAATAGCAGCAATAGTTCAACAGGTGTATATCAGGGACATTTCCCATGCTGAGTACATGCACTTTGTAATCATTGGGCAAAATGTGGGGATGTAATATCTTCACTTTATGTTCGCAACATAGCAATGTGTTTATTGGAATTGAGAGCGAGGCCACTCTTCACTTTAACTGGACCAAGTCTGGTTCACTTTAACTGGACCAAGTCTGGTTCACTTTAACTTAATCAAGTCTGGTTCACTTTAACTGGACCAAGTCAGGTTCCCTTTAACTGAACCAAGTCTGGTTCACTTTAACTGGACCAAGTCTGGTTCCCTTTAACTGGACCAAGTCTGGTTCCCTTTAACGCTTCACAGATCATTTCAAAGATGTAATCTAACATGAGCAACTCGGTGGACACATGTTCACTTGTTTGATGATTCTACATCCACAAATTAGACTTTTGGCTCCCAGTGAACCAGGATGGGAGGAGTTTTGTGTGAAGGCGTCCTGAGACACATTAAGGGCTGATTTCGATGATTCTATGTCTGAAAGCTGCTTGTAGTAATAAACAATAGTCATGTTGTCGAGTATGAGAAGAGGGAGCCAGTATCAACCTTGATTCTGGTATCAATCCTATTTTGACCCAGATGTGGTTGAAGAGAAGCCACTAAAGGCCATGGCTGGTTTATTATTAACAATGAGACTCAATTTAATTCTTGATATTTGTTATTACTGCTCTGTTGGTGTCTTACGATCACATTTTAGTACATACACGTTAAAGTCTGTAAATACAGCAGTTAACTGTTAATAAATTAGTAAATCAGGATTCTTAAAAATCAATTCCGCTGCCTGTCCCCATTGCACACTCTGTAATGTTGGAAACTGGCTTCAGGTGAATTGCAAGCACATACCTTTCTACTTTTGTGAATAAACTGACACTGAATTTTCTCTTACTTCAAGCTTGCATCAATCTTTATTTTGACTGCTGAGAGGGGAGCAAAACAAACCTCAAAACTAAAATGGAGGTTGGATGGGGATGTAAACACAATAATTAATGTTTTGGTAGAAGGAGAAAAGGTCACGTTTTATGCCTTCTCCTGGACTTCGATTAAACATAGTCTGAACTTTACTTGTAAGATGTCTCTGTCTCAAGCAATCTCAAAAACATGTCTAAGGTCATTCTTATTTAAATCCCAAACGGAGCTGGCTGTGTTTGCGCAAGAGCGTGAGAAGCCCTCATCTGCTCGGGTTCTGCTGGTTTATTTGATATGAAATGTGAAGCAAAGTCAGAGTATAAAGTCTTGTCTGCTATAATAAATAAACATCCATATTAACAGCAGATGGGGCAATTGGTTGTAAATGATGGGGCTGTTAAACACGAGACTTTACCGCTGCTGCCGCCAAGCTTGAATACGGCCGTTTGTTAATCAGTCCACCGATCACTTATTGCATGTTCTCTCTCTTCACCTGATAAGACACCACTATAAGTCCACATCACAAGGCCGCACTCAAAACAAAGTTATTTCGTATTGAAAAGTTATGCGCGTGGGAGGATGTGTGAAAAATGTGGAGACAGAGAGTTAGTCATGAAGCCAATCTGTCAAATGCAGAAGAATACAGCTGAAAAGGGACACACTATAATGAATATTTAAGTCTTGGACATGTTGGCTGAGGTGTTTGGGCGCTGTATTACCACAGAAAGGTTTGTTGCAAAGTAGATGGGCAATTCCACATCGCTTTGCTTGATCACTATATAATTTATTTTGAAACAGTAATTGTATATTGTCATGGTATGGAATTTTTCTTATTTGAGACTTGGTTTTTTTCTAGGTCTTGTGTGGTTTTGTTTTGGGTTCACTTTCTGTCCTGTTCCCCTCATGTGTCTATCCCCATTTGTTGCTGGTCCTTTTTGGTCGGAAAAGGGGCTTTCTGAGTGGAGTTTGCATGTTTCTACCCATTGCCTACGTAGGTTTCCTCCAGGTGCTCCTGTTTCCCCTACCGCTAGAAACATGCACACTAGGTTGAATGCTCCAGCTCCTGTCCTGACCAAGCCAAGCATCAACATCTGGAGATGAGTTCCTGGGCGCTGTTACTACGGCGACCACTGCTCCTGACTTTAGTGGCATCAGGATGGGTCAAATGCAGAGGATGAATTGCCCTACGGGGATTAATACAGTGCACCTTTACCTTTCCTGTGTGGTGAGTCCTTCCTTGTCTTTCACCTCATGATAAATACACGACAGAAGAATGAGCCCAAGAAAGGCAAACCATGTCAAAACCTCCATGTAGCTTTTCCAAGGGCCACTATCTTTTTTTTTAACCTTTAGCCCTAGTCCAGCATTAAGTGAGTGTAGGATTCGTAAATTTCAATGTCAGGTTATTGGTTGTAAAAATAATAATTTTGTTAATTGGGATAAATGGCTTGTGGCGGCCAAGCGTTCATAGCGACGTCGCTTTTTGATCCTTCGATGTCGGCTCTTCCTATCAATGACCAGAGAACCCCAAAGAAGCTCTTGGATTAGCTTTATATACAAGGGAAATGTCCTCACAAATTTGCCCAAAATTGTATGTCTGTGTTACCACTTTGAAGACCGCTGCTTCAGCATTCTGCCCAATTTAAAGAAGGAATTGCAGAAAGACTTCCTATAAATGAGGGGGCAATACCTTTCATTTATCCTTTCCAAGACTGTGGTAATACTGTGAGGATTGTTCTTGGCATACTGAAACTGTGATTTGTTTGGCATTCTGTCCAGCGGAAATCTTGACTTTTAGCTTTGGTTTAGCCCATCTAATACAATACAAAAAAATAAGGAAAATTGGTGAAAAATAAATGATAACACTGATGTAGCCTGGACTACAAGAAATATAACTATGAAGATTCCTGAAACCAATTATTTGTTAATTTGTTGGAAATGTATTGTCTTATCTTATCTACTAACTGGCTTTGGATTGATAATCCTCATCACATTGTCACCTAAATCCATATTATTGCAGATGTCTTCAGATCACATTTGACAAGACATTTAATTCAAACAAGACACTATGTATACTACAACGTGTATGAGAAAGAAGTCATCTGAGTTTTATATTGTAACTTTTTAACTTCCTGTTACCTTTCTGTGATCAGCTCGTGTGTAAACGCAGGCTGTAGAGGCTTTCTACTGTCTTTTGAGTTTATTTCACTGTTATTATTATGTCATTGTTTGTATGTTTACATCTTTAATAAACATTCCATGTATTGTGTATACGGCTTAAGTAACATCTTTAAAGTGTTTTATAAAAAATGTTGCTATATGGTTTGATTGACCACTGGTGCAACAGCATAAATATCATGTATGTATCATTAAAACCATAAGCTGACTCAAATGTATCGTATCTTTTATATATACAGTATATATATATATATATATATATATATATATATATATATATATATAATGTAGATGTTGCAATATCACAGCAACAGTTTATGAAAAGTCCTTGAGAAAAGCACTTCTTTTAAATCTTTTCCAATAGACTAGCCATTCATTGTAAACAGAAATATGCATGGCCCTTGCTGTATTCATGTTAAATTCACACTTTTTAACCTTTTGTGAAGCATTTTACTACAGCACATTTCTTTTAATACAGTACATGTTGTTTTTCCCCTTTAGAAGAACAAACACTGACAGGACGTAAAGAACAAATGCAAACACACAATCTGTACGACTGCGACAAACCAACACTCAGCTGCAGGTGCTGTTGTTACTCTCTCTGGTGCTGTGCATGTGTCCACATCAGGGACAACTCCAAATAAACAATGTCCATAAAAGTCACGAGCCACTCCCGGCGAGATTACAGCAGCAGTCATAAGATCCTGCTGCAGACTTCTGCTGGGACTTCTGAAACAGAAGAAGTCGGAAATAGAATAACATTAAAGGGGACACGTAATCTGGATCAACTTTTCTGAGCTTTTGACAATATTAAAACGTTATTCCTCAAAAAAACGACCTGTTTTTAGAACTTCTGTTAAACCCTTCTGTTTTAAAGTCTCTTGTCTCAAACCTGTAATGATAGAATATAATTCACTATGACATCACGCTCAGAGCATGTGTATGCAATTTAAAACAAAAATATTGCCTCTATTTTAGATTTGGTCATTTCTCTGGTGAAATGACATTCTTTACAGTTGCAGGTCAGTGTTTGCAGCCAGTGACCCCCATATGGATTACTCCTCCCTCTGGTGTTAGCATAGGGAATTGAAGCAAATAGCATTAGTTAGCCTTGCTATACTTGATCATAGTGACATTGGTAACACAGTGTCTGAGTGGATAGCACTCCTGCTTCTCGGCAAGAAGGTCTGGGGTTCAATTCCCAGTCGGATCTGGGTCTTTCTGACTGGAGATTAAATGTTTTCCCTGTTTCTATCTAGGTTTTCTCCTGTTTCGGCTACCATTAAAAACATGCTCAGCTCTGGTAATCCTGACCAAGCTGAGCATCAACGTTTGGAGATGGGTCCCTGGGCACTTTACCACGGCGATCACTGCTACTGACAGAGGTTCTAGTGCATTGCAGGATGGGTCAAAATCAGAAGAAAAAGTTACCAATGGGGATAAATAAGCATTAACCATAAAAGTTCAACTTTCACATTCTAAAAAATGAAGTAAAATTATTGTTTTAAAGGCAAATATGGGGTTGAACAAACAAAAAAGGAGAAATGATAGTAATAAAAAAAATAAAAAAACACTGATCTAAGTGGTTGCCATATTAAGACATTAACTCCACCTTTGCTCTGTTGTTTAAACAAAAAATAAAAATCTTTTAAAATTGCAATAAAAAAATAGAGACGTCAGCGTTCCAAATCAAATCAGTAGAGTCTCCACAATTATAGGGAGGATGCAAATAATC